CTGTAAACATATACATATGCCTCAGTAATGACCCCCTTAGATCAAGTGGTTCCCCACCTTTTTGACGCATAGGACCAGTTTCGTGGAAGACAATTTTTCCACAGAGAAATTGAGGTGGGGAGATGGTTTCAGGATTAAACTGTCACCTCAGATCATCAGGCATTAGTTAGATTCTCATAAGGAACACGCAACCTAGATCCCTTGCATGCATAGTTCACAATAGGGTTTGTGCTTCTATGAGAATCTAATGCTGCTGCTGATCCGACAGGAGGCAGAACTCAGGTGGTAATGCTTGCTTGCCAGCCACTCACTTCCTGCTATGCATCCCAGTTCCTAACAGGCCACAGACCCATACCAGTCTGTGGCTTCTGGATTGGAGACCCCACACTGGCTTAGAGGATTCTCCAAATGCACATTCCAAAACATAAATGAAGCTTCCTACTTTGAGTGCCATTCTTTAATAAAAGTTTGCTGAAATGTAGTCTGATTTTTATTATTGATTTAGTATTGAACACTTAACTCTGCCTTGCTTATGATAGAAATAGTGAGAATTGCAAAAGTATGTCCTCTAAATTTTTTGAGTCTCACTTCATCACCCAGGCTGGAATGCAATGGCTTGATATCAGCCTACTGCAGCCTCCGCCTCCCTGGCTCAGGCAGTCCTCCTGCCTCAGCCTCTCAAGTAACTCTGACTACAGGTGTATGCTGCCACACCTGGCTAGTTTTTTAATTTTTTGTAGAGACGTGGTTTTGTCATGTTGGCCTGGGCTCAAGCAATCCACCTACCTCCAGCATCTCAAAAGTGCTAGGATTACAGGCATGAGCCACCATGCCTAGCCTGTAAAATACTCTTAAGTGAGCTGTTGAATTTAAATTTATCCTGTTGTTGACCCAGGACCATTGTGAATAGAATGCTACCAGAATAGAATCTTCATAACAGTGGTGATACCACAATCAAGAATTAAATTGCTACTTGTTACTACACCTATCTGGCCTCATAGATACCAATTTTGGGGTTTTTTTTCTTTTAATATCTACAGTGCTATAGTATTTTAGTCTTCTTAATAGTAACTTAGGTTTTTCTGTTATCAGTATGGAACATTCCTCATTTATCTAACTTTAATATGCTTTTAATATGTTATTCATAAACACACTAGAATACTAGGTTTATGAAGTTAGTGAACCTAGTGGAGCTATACTATATCTTAGTGAATGAAGTGAATGAACTTTGGTATACAGGTTTCTTTATGTTTATTTTAGCTGCATAGAAGACTTTGTTCAAAAGAAATGATACTGTTTTGCCTAGCACACATGACAAAACTGTGATTTCCTCACAGGCACACTTTATTCTTTTCTACTTGTGTGAAGGTAAATTTAATAAAATAAAAAATATATTTTTTAATGGGATTACTTAAAACTTAATGAATTTCCTGAGTTTAGTAGCTAGTTTTACTTCACTGACACATCATTGGGGTTTGCCATTTTCAGATATTAAGTAGGAAGAGGCATCAAGAGATCAAGTTTGAACTCCTAAGTTGTATATAGATAAAACTCTCAAGAAAGTGCTATCATTGTCCACCTTTGGTTTAAATCATGTATTTACTTTTTAATATCACAGCTATCAAAGAACATAATTCACTTAAGGTGTTTTGTTTGTTTGTTTGAGGCAGAGTCTCACTCTGTCACCCAGACTGGAATGCAGTGGCGCAACCTCAGCTCACTGCAACCTCCACCTTTTGGATTCAAGCAATTCTCCTGCCTCAGCCTCCTGAGCAGCTGGGATTACAGGCACGCACCACCACACCCGGCTAATTTTTGTATTTTTAGTAGAGACGGGGTTTCACCATGTTGGTCAGGCTGGTCTTGAACTGACCTCGTGATCCTCCTACCTGAGCCTCCCAAAGTGCTGGGATTACAGGTGTTAGCCACCACCCGTCCCAGAAACAGCCTTTTTTTGAGATGGAGTTTCGCCCTTGTCGCCGAGGCTAGAGTGCAGTAGCACAATCTAGGCTTGTTGCAACCTCTCCCTCCTGGGTCCAAGCGATTCTTCTGCCTCAGCCTCCTAAGTAGCTGGGATTAC